CACTGTTCAGACATTAGAATAAAGAATATTTATTGTTCTGGAAAGTACAAAAGCTGTGAAACATCTGAAAGAAAAAAAAAAATGTTCATTTGATCTGCGTACGGAGAAATGGAACAATGCATCTAAAAGTCAGCAGGCACCTTAAAGATAGGTATCAGTACGGGATATGTCCACCGTGGAGTGTGATGCAACATTCCACACGTCGTACCATACTTTGCACAACATTATCCAGCAGCTGTTGAGGCAATTTATCCCATTCCTCTGTGAGTGCACGGATGAGGGTGTTCTTGTTTGTCGGAGGATAGTTTCGACCAGCAATTTGCCTCCCCAAAGCATCCCACACATTTTCAATGGGTTTAGATCTGGAGAACGCGCTGGCCATACAAGACGTTGAATACCCTCGCTGTCTAGACAATCCTGAACAGCGAGTGTTCGATGACATGTTGCGTTATCGTCCATAAAAACAAATTTATCACCGACAGCACCACGGAAAAGACGAACATGAGGAAGTAGAACTTCATCAATGTATCGTTGGCCCGTCATAGTCCCATTCGCAACCACATGTAGGCGCGTGCGGCCATTGATCATGATGCCGACCCACACCATGATACTGCATGTCGGATATCGGTCCTTTTCCTGGATATTTTCGTGACGATAAGCAGTACCACTCTCGCGCCAGATCAGTTGGCGTCTACGATCCGATGACAGACTGAACCTACTCTGATCTGAGAATAGTACGCATGCCCAGTCCTGTTCAGTCGAATTGTGATGCTCACGACACCATTGCAAACGGGCAGTACGGTGCTGTCTGGTCAATGGGACACACACAACAGGTCTGCGTGCGTATAGTCCTCCTCCCCTCAAGCGTCTGGCAACAGTTTTTCGGGAGATCTGCTTTCCTGAGACAGCAAGAAACTGATTTGCCACCTGCTGAGCTGTGGTGCACCTGTTCCTTTTTGCTGATAGGACGATATATCTGTCTTCTGCAGGCGTCTTACTTCTAACACGACCTCCCCGTGCCGTCTACTACACATTCCAGTAGTTTTAAATAACTTCCACAGCCGTGAAACAACGCTGTGAGCGATGTCGAACTCCCTGGCAACATCTGTTATTTTTCGCCCTTCTTCGATCTTTCCAATAATTCGGCCACGCATAAAATCATCTATGTGATGTCGGGAAGACATGCCAAAAATTTTAAGTTCGTCTATTAAATCTTTCCTGTAAAACTTTGACTTGAAACAACAACTGTCCTTACGCGTCAAAACCTTTAAAGCTCTTATGAACGCTATCACGTGATGAACAGACGTGCAAAAAAAATTTGCATACTCATACTTCTTCTTACTGATATCCCGCACTTATTCTAATTTTCCACATTTTGCTTCCTTTCATTTTGTGGTTGCTATGGATGATAGTGTTATCTGTCCTTAGCAATTGTCCAGCAGTGTATAATAAAAAATACCACATTATTATTACAGTTATGGTACTTACGCATGATTATGTATACAACTCATCAATGCAGGAAAATCTAAAACAGACGTTACGAGAAAAAACAAACAATAGGTTAATAAGGAATATGGTCTCTTCAGGCAACTAAGTAGCTTTCATAGTGTCGGCTATTGCTAAAAGGAACTCTGCTTAGGAGTCTCTTTGGCAGTCGGTGCAATTCCTCCAGCAAAATCATTTTTTTTATCCTGGGATAGTTTTGGAACGATGTAGACGAGTTGATCTTCCTTACAGCATACCAAATGTATTCTATAGGGCTTAAATATATAGATCTACTGACCAATTCCATCGAATGAATATCTTTATTTTCCAATTTTTTTTTAATCAGATAAACTTTATGCGGATGAGAGTTGTTCCCCATTAAAGAAGTAGTGCCAACTTCACCCTCTAAAAAGCAAGGTCAAAAATTTTATTCCGTTACCTTACAGAACCTCTGATCAAAACGTGAAAGCATCTGATTTCATCCAATATATTCCTGCCCAAACCAGCAGATCTTCACTTCCATATTGGTCTATTTACCAGATATTGAAGGACATTTGTGAAATACTGGTAGTAAAAGTACTTAGAGAATCAATGGTTGGGTTGAATCTGAACTTCTCAGTAAAAAGAGTGGCTCTCTGAATCATGTGGGTTCTTTTGTACGTAGAACACAAATAGAAGATCCTCATACAAACAGATCTCTATCACGTAGCCTTTTGGAAACAGTATTATTTGATGCTTGGATTTCTGTGGCAGCATGAACTTCAAGACACAGCAGAAAAGCTTTTGCACTCCTTTTACGCACCGCTGTAATTGACAAATATCAATCTTCATCTGTCGCTGTAACTCGTTGATCAACTAGTCTAGATCTTCTTTCGACTCGTATAGTCTCTTTAAACAATCTTCACAAGTTGCACGTAATGTTAGGCATTGCATCTGCGCTTGAGACTGTTTTGCTCAAGGCTCTCTACGTTTCGCCAGCTCTTTCCGTTATTCGATTATTGGTGATTGCTCATTTCAAATGTTTTCTGAATTCCACCGAATGTTGCAAAAAAACACTTCCAAGGTATGCAAACAAATGAATCCAAGGTATGCAAACAAATGAATCCAAGGTATGCAAACAAATGAAACGCGTGTATTAGCACATACACTTACAAATAATTTTTCTTCAATAGTAAAAATTGCATGTGCATCTATACTTGCATAAGTCGCACTAAAAATTTTCATCTATATTTGGCAGCATTAGTTTTATTTTTCGTTCAATAATTTTCAGGAAATTCGTCTACGCGTGAAAATTCTCTTAATTTTGAACAGCAGAGGATAATTCAAACCACACACAATCTCTAATTTAATCATTTTCTTTGTTTTGTATGTATTTTTCCTTTTTACATAAGTGAAATTTGCAAAATAAATGAGAAATTTAGCTTTTCTGTGAGTAATCCTTATTTCCAACTAAAGATTTATTCTCTTTCTGTTTCTGCTAGTATTTCAGAACGATTAACCATTCATTTTTCACTCTAAACAGATGTAATTAACTGTTAGAAAGAAGTATAAGTTTTTTTGTAATTACTGTGCATTAAACCAAAAATATAAATTTAAAAAAAAAGCATCGAGTTCAATTCAAAATATAAAAACTATTGGGTTGTTCGGAAAGTAATTTCGTTTTTTCCCGACAGAGGATTTAATTGTATTTTTTTGCACTCAACTTCACATTTAAGACGTATAATTTTTATATGCTTTGAGAGCTCATATAGCAAGGCTTGTGTGTGAAAAATTCCAATTAATTCTACGTAGTAGTTTTTGGTTGGTGCCCTTTTTAAATATGGAGAGCGATAAGCAGCATTTTCGACATATCTTACTGTTTTACTACAGAAAGGGTAAAAATGCTGTTCAAGCCAGAAAGAAATTGACCAATGTGTATGGAGAAGGTGTGTTGACAGTACGCCAGTGCCAGAACTGGTTCGCTAAATTTCGATCCGGCAATTTTGATGTCGAAGATGCGCCACGTTCGGGAAGGCCGGTTGAAGTTGATAAAGGCATTAGTTGATGCGAACCGGCAAATAGCAACACGTGAGATCGGATTGAGGTTAAGATTATCAAATTCAATAGTTTATGACCACTTGAGAGGCCTGGGATTATCGATGTATGGGTTCCCCATGTTCTCACATAGAGAAATTTGTTTCGCCGCATTGACGTCTGCGATTCGCTTCTCAAACGTCACGAAAATGATCCGTTTTTGAAGCGCATCATCACTGGGGACGAAAAAGGTCATGGAGCATAAAAGATGAACCAGCTCAAACCATTTCCAAAGCCGATATTCACCAAAAAAAGGTGATGCTGTCTGTTTGGTGGGATTTTAAAGGAATAGGTTTTTTTAAAATTTTATTTTAGCTTTTACCTGATAACACAACGATTAATTCGGAAGTCTACTGTCATCAGCTGGACAAACTGAATGATGCACTTCAACAGAAAAGGTCAGAACAAATCAACAGGAAAGGTGTAGTGTTTCACCAAGACAACGCGTGACCTCACACAAGTTTGATCACTCGCCAAAAGTTTTTACAGCTTGAATGCACACCCACCATGTTCTCCAGACCTGGCATCATCGGATTATTATTTGTTCCGGTCACTCCAAAATTTTTTAGACGGTAAAACCTTCACCTCAATTGAGGAGGTCAAAAACCACCTCGATCAGTTTTTTACCAGCAAAGACCAAAAATTTTATGCGTGTGGAATTATGCTACTACCAGAAAGATGGCAAAAGGTGTTGGACCAGAACGGCCAATATATAATTTAATAAAGTATTTGTTTATTATACGAAAACTGTCTTTCGTTTCCACACAAAAAAACGAAATTACTTTCCGAACAACCCAATATTAATGTACATTGTCATGACCTATTACACTGTTCGGTAAATAATTTTTAATGAAAATAATTTTACACTTTTGAAGTTTTTTAAGCATAACACCGGTGGTTGTTGTTATATTAATATTACGCTACGAAGCTATATGAGGGCAGTAGGTGACGGGCCTCGCAATTTTGTGAGTCTCAATCAAATAAATAACTCAATACTTGACCTGGAACCTTAGCAGATCTACAAGGAGAGTCTTCAGTGGAGCTAGGTCTCGAACTCATAACACATGCACGTGATCATGACGACTAAGCTATTACAATCATTAACTAAAAACCGAGATTTCCTAACAAAAATTATTTTAAATACAAGTAATGTAAAAAAAATTAAGTAAATTCCTACTTAGGTGAACAAAAAAAAATTCATTTTAGTTATTTTTTATTAAATAGTTACAATTAATATAAATATATATATATGTATATACATATAACAGAATCACAATATTAACTGACCAAATGAAAAGCGATTTTCCTTCCAGTTTTCCATTTTCCTTTCTATATAGGGTGTTGGACTATTATTTTTGCTTGTTACTATTTATTCATTAATTAAATTTAATTATTCTAATAAAATAGCACTGTAAAAAGAAACCACAATCTATGAAATTTGGCATCCCGGGTGGGATTCGAATCCACGACTTTCGGATTAGAAGTCCAACGAGCTACCCAATGCGCTACAGGGACACAGTGAACAAATATCCTTTCTATATATGATGTTGGACTATTATTTTTGTTTCTATTCATTTTTTAATTAAATTCATGAATTAATATTTGAAAAAACGTATTAACATCAAGTGTCATCCACTACAAGTTTAAAAAAATGTACTTTAACATGACTGGATGAACAAAAAGTATTTTATTAACAAATGAAAATTTGAACAAGATAAATATATATATATATATTAGGATGGGGGAAAAGAAATCCATTATATTTTCGATAGATGGTTGTAGTGTCCATATCTCCTGAAGTCCATATCTCCTCCAATCATACAATTTCAAGTTTATGCTCGTTGTCAAGATGATAGTTCACACTAAAAAAATTATTTTGTCTTTTTTTGTTTGGTCCATTCAGTTGTGAGTAACAGGGTGTTAAAAATGGAAGTCAACAAAGAGAAAATTCGGTACATTTTATAGTTTTTCTTTGATAAAGGCAAAAATGCAAGCTAGGTGTCTGAAATTATGCATGGTGTTTGTGGTGCCGATACTATAACAGCTAATTACGTGCAATTTTGGTTTCGTCGATTCCGTTCAGGAATTTTTGATGTTAAAGATGCACCTCACACAGGCAGTCCCGTTGTCGAAAATGTCGATAAAATCACAGAAATAGTCGAAGTTGACTGGCATGTTAGTAGTCGTAGCATCACTTAAGAGCTAAAGATCAGCCAAAAGATAGTTTTAAACCATTTGTGTAAAGTTGGATTCAAAAAGAAGCTCGATGTTTGGGTGTTACACCAATTAACTCCAAAAAAGCATGATGCATCGAATTTCCATCTGCGAAGCTTTGACCAAACGTAATGAAATCGACCCCCTTCTTAAGCGGATGGTGACTGGGGATGAGAAATAGATCATATACTACAATATTGTGTGAAAAGGATCGTGGTCAAAACGCGGTGAAGTAGCTCAAACAGTGGCCAAACCAGGACTAACAGCCAGGGAGGTTCTACTGTGCATTTAGTGGGACTGGAAAGGAATAATTTATTATGAGTTGCTTTTGTATGACCAAACACTAAATTCAGATCTCTACTGTCAACAACTGAACCATTTGAAGCCAGCGATTGACTAGAAACGTCCAGAATTGACCAACAGAAGAAGAGTTGTGTTCCATCAGGACAACGCCAGGCCACACATGTCTCCAGAGACCCTGGGAGCTTGTTTGGGAAGTTTTAATGCATCCACCATATAGTCCGGACCTGGCACCAAGTGATTATTATATTTTTCTGGCATTGCAAAACTTCCTGGTTGATAAGAAATTGGATTCAAGAGAGGATTGTGCAAATCGATTACTAGAGTTTTTTGCCAATAAGGACCAAAACCTCTATAATAGAGGCATTATGAAGCTACCTTTAAAATGGCAACAAATTATACAACAAAACGGTACTTATTTGACTTAAATCGGACAATCCTAACATTTTAAATAAAGTCTTGAATTTCATGCAAAAATAATGGATTTATTTTTCCCAAACCTAATATATAAGGAGAGTGTGAACTAATAGTAGGAATTGAATAAATAAACACCTCAGTGTGAGTAAGTGTTTATTAATTTTGCCCTATAAGGCCAGGCGTGGGCTATTAGCAACTGACCTCGTAATTTTAAGCTACGGTTAAGGGACTAGCACGAAGCCTGAGCTAGCTCCCACTCTCCCAACTTTCTCACCACGCTATCATAAGTACTTGAAACCACGACATATTTAACGTGCATTAGTTCCTCTACACAGCCAGTCTGCAATAGAACTCATGACACAGGCCACGAGCTCTTGCCTAGGTTTCTGACAACTAGGTTTCTGCGACCACAAAACCTCCTCTGAAGAGTTCTGAAAAATACAAATATTTTTTCTCTAAATTTAAGGGCTTGTATCAAAATAGAAAAATATTATTTGATTTCTCTCTTCCGTCTTTTGTGGCCACGATAGCTAAGTGGTCAAGGTAACGGACTCATGGCTGGCGTGTCATGAGTTCGAGTTCAGTACCACTGAAGTCCCGCCGTGTAAGGGAGTGATGCACGTTAAATCTGTCTCGCGAGAGCTCAAACATCTTCCCGCTGGTGTAGTGTGGTATTTAGTAGAGGGGATGCAAGCTCAGGTGTCGTCTTCGTCACTTGACCATGGTTCAAAGTTACGAGGATGGTCGCCAAATGCTCTAGTGTAGCTGAACAGTGCGATGTTAATATTCACTCACTCACTAACTCAGGTCCGTGCCTACCACCATGCACCATCGTTATTCATTTAATCGCAAAGTGAATTGAGATTCACGCATACTGGTTACATGCAGGAAACAATTTATGTGTGTGTGTTTGCGTGTGATAAAAATGTTTATTCATTTTTAATATTTGTGAGTAAACAAGGGAGGGGATGAATATTTAAGTCACACCCTTTAGCTACCTGAGGACTTTTCCTGACGTACCTCGGAATTTTGAACCATAGTCAAGTGAAGAGGACGACGTTTGAGCTGGCAGCCCTCTAACTACTTCCACACCACACCAATGGGCGGACGCTTGAGCCTTGGAATATTTACCATACATCGGCCTCCTCTGAACGACGGGTCTTTAGTGGCACTAGGCTCTAACTCATGACGTGCGTGCCACAACTCCGTTACCTTGATTACTACGCTACCGCGGCCACTTAATATTTGTCAGAGCCGCAATTATAGTAGCGATTTTCCTCGACATATACTCCTGTTTGTGAACATTGTAACACCACGAAGGACCTACGCGAGTGAGCTGAAATTTTCAGGAAATGTAAAGTAGGACATGATATGCAAATGATTAGAATTGCAGACCGGTAGCGCATGCGTATGCTGAGCAGCGCCCTCTGAAGGGTAGATAGAACCGAATATAAATAGACAGCTGTAGCGAGGCGTGTATTATTATCGGTGGTTATATGCTAGTGTAACCGTTAACTGAATCTTTACTATGCCTCGTCGATGAAAGGGAGTGAAATTTGAGCAAATTTCGGAGTTTGAACGGGGCAGAATCGTCGGCCTTCGTGAAGCTGGATTGTCTTATCGTGCAGTAGCCGCTCGTGTGCAGCTTAACAGCAGCACAATCATGCGTGTTTCGAAGCAGTGGACGGACGAGAGTCGGACAGCTCGGAAATCAGGGAGTGGACCCCGAAATGTGACGTCAGCTCGCGAAGACAGACGCCTGGTGCGAATGGCTCAGACGGACCGCACAGCTGTTTCTAGACAATTGGCAGCACAGTGGTCAACAGCTACACGTTTTGCATTGTGTGCTTCATCAATTCGGAGACGTCTGCTGCAGCGTGGGCTGCGCGCAAGGATTCCTTTATGCAGGATTCCTCTCACGCAAAACCATCGCCGCCTGCGACTACACTGGGCCAATGTGCATAGGAGCTGGCGTGCTGATTGGCAGCAGGTCGTCTTTTCTGACAAATCCCGCTTCAATTTGTGGCACCATGATGGCCGAACTCGTGTCAGGCTCTATGCCGGTGAACGGCGCATTCCGGAGTGCATTATCGAACACCACAGTGGACGAACACCCGGAGTTATAGTCTGGGGTGCCATAGCATATCATGGATGATCACAATTGCTACGAATTGTAGGCAATTTGAACAGCACCCGATACATAAACGAAGTTTTACAGCCCTAAGATATTCCTTTCCTGCAAGGATTGCCAGGGGCTGTATTCCAGCAGGATAATGCGCGTCCACATGTCGCCAAGACTGTCAAATCCTATCTTGATTCGCAGCAGGTACAGCTTCTTCCTTGGCCTGCGTATTCGCCGGATATGTCACCGATTGAACATGAGTGGGATATCGTTGGGCGGCGTATCGCTCGTGGTCTTCGTCCTGTTGCTTCGACAGACGAACTTTGGTTGCGCATACAAACAATATGGAATACTCTTCCGCAGACAGATATTAAAAATTTGTTTAACTCCATGCCGCGTCGTGTAGCAGCTCTTATTGCGGCGCGTGGTGGCCACACAAAATACTAATTTCTGTCCCTTTTAATTGTTTGTTTGGTTTGAAAATGTAATCGTTTATTTGTACCGTTACCACTCAACTGTGTATTAAATTTCATTCAACTATGATGCTTCCTTCATGGAGTTGCAATTTTCACAAACAGGAGTTTATTTTTAAACAATTCTTGTACGACAGCAATTAACATTTTCTTCTACTTGACTTGAAAAAGACACGTCAATTCATAATCCGATTTTGGACGAGGGAAGGACCGGTACCACTTCAATCGACTTTCCAACTCTGCTCATAGGTGCTCGATAAAATTAAGGTCCGAACTTACGGACTTAGGGCTGGCGAATTCAGTTTCTGAGCCTTATTTGCGTCATACCAAGGCATTTTGCACATCATAATCTACTGTTTGTCGTTTGAAAAGCAACGACGGTCTCCGTGTCAAACATTGCCACAATGTAGATGGCCTATGGCCGTCAAGAATGCTACAATAGACACAATTTTAAGCGCACTTTATGCAATCAAAGATCCTTAGAGAAACAACATACAGACAAAGCACCACTATAGTCGAAATTCATTGTTGGCACAGGGTATTCCTGCAGTAGGTGTTCTCCAGGCAGTAGACAAGGGGTGGCCAACGTAAATGACCTCGTATAAAAAAATATAGATCATTATATTAGATTTGGACCCCTTACAAACATTTATTGCAGTGAATATTTAAACCAGAATGATGTATTGTTTTTGTTTTCATTGTTTGTCATGTCTACAAACATATATAATCTAATAATAATGCAAAGATCAAAAATTGTTTAATGCATTTATACAATTAGTGCGATTTTTGTTTCTCAACTATTTCGCTTTGTGTTTGCAAGTCGATCACAAATGCGTGTATTTGTGTATCGTAATTGATACTGCAGGCTTTTGCCCTTTAAATTTGAGCGTGATTTATGTTTGATAAATTTCATTTCAAAAAGTAAAAAAAAAAATATTCGCAGTATTAGAAGCAACGTGATAAAACAGAAACAATTATGGGATTTATTT